TCTTGTGGAGATAACTCTGCAGATAGTCGTGAGCAGTGGCCAGGCGGAAGCAGGCAACTGCATCTCTTCTCGGCAGTTCAGCTGGAATCGGATTATCTTTCAAACTCTCATAACGTTTCCCTTCCACTTTGCCGAAGTGTGCTTTTCTAATTTCTTCCTTCAATACCATCTTTACCATTCGCCGTATTGAATCGTAAGATTTTGGATGTATCGGCTGAGGCAAATCTGTTCCTCGCTTGGCAAGAATATCAGCCTCAACGTTTTCCGGAATCCCACAATGGCTGGGGATCCACTGTAGGATCACATTGGTGCCTCGGAGTGTCTGGTTAGAGAGGAGGGATTTGCATTCCAATATAGTACTCGATAAACATTCATTCGCGTTTGTAACAGCGAGGATGGCTGCATGAGAGTCGATGAAGAGAACAGCGCTCTGATCCCGCCTTCTAGACAATGTTCTTAAGGCTATGAGGATCGCTGCTATCTCACCGTCGAAATTTATTCCATCTTTACCAACCGCAGCGCTGATTTGGAATTCCCATGAGTAAACCCCTGCTCCAGCATTTTTAACGGCTGATTCAGTTGATCCGTCGGTATAGATATGGAGCCAATCTTGAGGAGGTTACTTTTGAGCTATAGTTTCTAGTGTTAATGCTTTTAGCTCGTATTCAGGTGTTTCTTTCTTATCCACCTTATGAAGGAGTTGCAGTTCTGCATTGAATGCTTGATTGTGAATTGGTAACTGTGGATTTATGAAGGCCTCTTTCTTCAAGCAGTGCCATCGCCTTCAGGATTCATGAAGGATTTTTGTGTCTTGAGCTGTTGAGTGGGGATTTTGTAATTTTTCCAAAACTCTGGGTCCATTCTTTTCATTCACTCGTGAAGGCACATTGTAGCTCGCTCACGCCGTTTTGAGAGGGGTTCTGCTGTGGTCTGCAGTTCAATAGCTACAACAGGAGTTGAACGTGGTGCACCCAAAATCAAACGCAGAGCTTTTTTCTGCTAGCCGTCCAATCTTTTCAGGGATATATCTGCCGCAGTACAGATGACCTCAGAGCCGTATTCCTGGACTGGACGTACGTAGGTTTTATATGCAAGGCACATCATATCCTGGATGGTCCCCCATTTTAGGATTAGGGGTTCCCATGTCTTTCCTCCAAGGCGTTTCAGAAGTTTTAGCCTTTTTTTCCCCTTTTCCACCATCTCTTCAATTTGTCTGTTCCAGATCATTTTTGTATCTAATCTAACTCCCAGATATTTGCCTGCATAGGTTCTTGGCAAGGGAACATTATTATAGATAATTTCCAGCTCGTACTCTTTGGTTGATAAGGTGAACAGTTGGAACTCAGTTTTCGGCGTATTTACTTCCATTTCATTACACTTGGCCCAGGTAAAAAGTCTTGCCATTGCTTCATTAATTGCTGCTTCGAGTGCTGTTATGTTGCAACTAGTCGCATATACTAGTAGATCATCAGCGAACAGTAGTGTAGATATTCCCGGTATTCCCTCGAGTACAGACACTAAGTCATCAATCATTATATTAAAGACTGTGGGGCTCAAAACATATCCTTGCGGAACTCCCTGACTAAAAGTTGTGAAGCCTGAACCAGCCATTGTATCTTACTCTGAGAAACCTCTAGGCCAAGAAGGAATGTATGGCTCGGTACATTTTTCCACTGATGCTCATTTTGAGGAGCTTATTTAGAAGTACTTTCCGGCAGACTATGTCAAAAGCAGCTTTAAAACCAACATATACTGCAAGAGTATGTTGATTGCGTTGGAATCCGTCTTTTACATCCTCACTAAAACGATCCACCTGTTCAGTTGTACATCGGTGCTTCCGGAAACCTGCTTTGTTTGATGACATCTTGTTTTCTCTATCCAGGTATATCTGCAACCAGGCTAGGAACATTCTCTCATGGAGCTTAGAAAAAACACTTATGAGCGTTATAGGTCGGTAGTTCCAGCCAAGTCCGCAGCGGTCGAGATTGATGGTTGTTGCTAGATGATTTGAGAAGGTGAAGTCGGTAGTGCTGGGAAATTTTTCCTATCTTCAATTTCAGACGCCTGAGTGCCAATTTTTTTTTATCACAGCTGAGACTTTTCGACGCTATATTGTGCGAACTCAGCTTGAGAAGATTTTATACACTATACAACCTCTGTAGCTCGCTGGGTGTCCCTCGCCACAAAGTACACATGTCGCAACCTCTTGCCTGGGTTTCTCGCAAATGTCAGACGGATGTAACAGTACATTTGACGCATCTGGCCTGGTGATGGCATTAGGCTTTTGTGTGTCCTAGGTTTTGACAGTTAGTGCATTGGACTACTATAGATTTTTTTGGGATTCCTCAAAACGGACAGTTGAGTATACAAGTCGTTTTACGTGAAATATTTCAGGGTTGTTTTTTGCATTTTAAAGATCTACGAAAAACAGCTGTAGCGAGTATTTTTCCCTAGGATAAAGGACGGATGAAATGTTTCTGAGTTTAGAATTCAATAGGTTTGTGTATTACGCTCTTTTTTCAGATTCCCGGAGCTTAATAGTTTAGATTTTCTGGTAGCTTTTTGGGTGTTTCTTCCTATAGGGAAGAATTTGATTATCTCCGACCAATAGGAGATGATCTGTGCCAATTTCTGCACCCCTAATCACTTTAATATCAGTAAATAGCTTTCTTACCCTTCGACTATAGATGTAGTAATCGATTATACTATTTACATTCCTTTCTTCACCAGAAAAAGTTATTTTATGAATTTGTTTGTATGGGAAGAATGAATTACCAATGAGCAGATCGTAATCAACATATAAAGCAATCAGTTTTTGACCATTTCTATTCTTATTGCGCTCACCCCCATGTTTTCTAATAACTCCATGTGCTTTGATGTAGTTACTCTCAGTCCTTGCAAGATTATTCTTTATAGAATTTTATAATCCAATTAATCCAAGAATTTTATTTCCAAATTTCGATTAATTTCTCGCTTGAAATTCTAAGAAATAATCATCTCCAAAGCCTTTGACTCAGTACACCACAAAATTCTCCTAACCAAGCTTAAAAATATTTCCTTCTCAACTAGTACCCTTAATTGGTTCCAATCCTTCCTTTCCGACCGCTCCCAGTATGTTGTAGTCCCCAATAACCCCCCATTAGAATCTTTATCTTTGTCCAGGGGTGTCCCACAAGGCTTCTCTTTATCTCCCACCCTTTTTTCCATCTACTTCAATGACCTTTCATCCTCTATCCTACACTGTCAATACCATCTGTACGCCGACGATGTCCAGATTTACCTCTCCTTCAATCCAACCGAATCCTCTGGCGCCATCTAAAAATTACAGAAAGATATGAACGCAATATGTGGCTGGGCAAATCACAATAGGATTACTCTAAACGCCAATAAGACGAAAGCCATCCTGATCGGATCTCCCTCACTCCTCAAATCCATACAGATACTCCCCAATCTTTTCCTGAACAACTCACTTATCTCATTCCATACTTCCGTAAAAAATCTTGGTATTACACTCGATCAAACCCTCTCCTGGAAACCACACATCTCCCAAATTTCCCGTCGTACTATCTCTACCCTGAAACAGTTTAACCGACTCCGCTATCTCCTTCCATATGAATCCCGACAACTCCTGGTTTCGTCCCTTGTGTTCCCCCACTTCGACTATGGCTGTCTGGTGTACGGCGGACTCTCGGGAGAATTCGAGGCCAGACTTAAACGCCTATTGAACTGCGCAATACGTTTTGTTTTCGGAATTTCAAGAGATACGCATATAAACCAGTATTACACCAAGTTGAAGTGGCTCTATCCATCCAACCACCGTCTGTACTTCCTTGCTACCTTTCTATACCAAATCATCAGAACTTAGCGGCCTTCCTATATTTTTCACAGCCTACAATTCAAATGTTCCATTCAATCCCGCCTCACTAGATCTCGTACCTCCGACCTCTATCCACCTCCCCACCGAACTGCAGCATTTGACAAATCCTTTATAATTCAAGCCATCTCCTTCTGGAATACCATCCCTCCCGGTATCCGACATGTACAATCAGTTTCCTCATTTAAATCTCTCCTTCTTAACCACCTTCTCCTTTCCCAACCCGACTAATCATGAAATGTAGATAATAGAACTTTTAAAATTCTCCCAGAAATGATTTTCTTTACTTATGCTATTTTATTTTCCCACATTTGTATTATACATATCAGTATGTTTTTAGTGTAATAGTTCTATTTTTTGTTTTATTGTTTTTCCAAAATTTTAATCTTAATAATGATTGTAAATAATTAATTTTATGTATGGCCACACGGGCATTTATTCTGTATCTGTAATTTGTCCTAAAGGGACAACAGTCCCAGGATAATAAAAAAAAATTTTCATTTCATCTTATGCATAATCATTATCGGTATTTTGACTTTTGTCCAGAGATGGGCAAATGCTACTCTGAGTACCGAGTACCAAGTATTTTACTAAAATTGAATCTCTATTGGGAATTCAAATACTACTTCAGTTAATCGTTTGACATCAAATGAATTAGTAATTAAATAGTAGAAGTAGTAACTCAAATAAGGTAGTATTGGAGTAAAATACTTGGTACTCAGTACTCAGAGTAGCATTTTCTCATCTCTGTATTTGCCCCGCTAGATTATCTAGGTCAGCCCACTGTGCGGCGCCCCCATGACATAATGTTTAGAATGAAAAATTAATTATTACCAAAATATTTTTAATGTGGTACTATACGAATATGAATATGGTTTTATTACACAATTCTACTTAGAAGTTATTATAAAATTATCATAATACTTTTTATTTAACATTAGGTAATTTCTAATAATTGGAGACAAAATAATCATTGTAACGGTCTAAATTTGTCCGAATACGCTATTAAAAGAGATTAAATTAGAGTTTTAATGCCAAGTTAAATTAATTTCTCTTTTTCAAATAATATTGTTACTTGAAACTAATTTATTCGTTTGAAATGACGTAATAGATTTATAGAAGGCCTGTAACCTTCTAGAACTTTCTGCTTTTAAGCAAAAAATTCAGTCGATATATTTATATACACAATCGCTATTCTGTTGATTTTCTCTACCGCAGTGATTAAATTCGTAAGTAATAATGTTTGCTATAATTTATCATCGTTAATATGGAAATTATGCCTGTGCTTGACTTTCTATAATAAGGGAGTAAAGGTTATTATACCCAACTGATTATAATTTTGTTGTTTAATCTCTTATTGTGATTTATAAATGTTTGGATGTACTTTAGTGTAATTGAAATACTGGTAAAGGTTTTATTTAAATAAAATTGCATTGTTACTTAGGTTTTTGGAATTCCCAGTATTATTAGGAGTATTATATTTGTAGATTATTGTACTTAATAGTATTGTTAAATAGGAAGGAATGAAGGGATTTGTTTTTTTGTTTAATTAATTGATAGGTATAAACATGATATATGCACTTATGGATCTATAACCATGTTAATTATTGTTGCTTTTAGTAATTGCTTCAAAAATTTTGAATTGTCATTGCAATAATGTGTTATATCTTTGATAGTTTTAATCTATAATATAGTGCTGACAGTCGTTAAGTTTCTTGTCGAGTAATATATAATGACCTCTTTACCGTTTTTGAAATTAGTAATTATATCGTATCTGTTATTCTTTTGAACACTTTTTCAGAATTTTACTGTAGAGATATTAAATACTGGATCAGTTATTTCAAACTTAATTTAAGCTTTCATATATCTCTATAGTCTTGTTCACATCTTCATGAATTTATGCGTTATATCATTTGAATTTATTATTTTTAGTAACCAATCGTTACGGCTTTGAATACTGATGTTGAAAACCGTCGTTTCACAATGTGTTTATAATGATTTCCATTATTGGAGGTATTGATATTTAATTTGACATTTTCTTTTGGTAAATATTTGAATTGCTTAGTTCACAGATATGTATGTTATGTATGTATTTTGCCAATTTTGAATCATTAAGTAAAGGTTCATTGTTTAAATAAATGTACTAATCAATAAAGGTTATTGATAATTGAAAATTATACAATTTCCAGTGTATCAGTGCATTCATTTAGATAATGAAATTTTTAGTTCAACTATAGTACTGTTAAGTCTGGATGATGGGCAGTCTAAGATCACATGATCACACTGTGTACGAATTGTTGAAGCTAGCTAAGTGTGTCTGTCTTGAACAAGTTAGGTTAGATTCTGTACAAAAATAAATTTGAGCACACTTAATGTAATACTAAAGAATGCCGCAAGTAACGAAGTATTGACATTTATGTATAACTTACATAAAAATGACATATTTGTCTTAATGACATATTTTTGCCTTAAGTGAACAGAAAATGATTTATGTTGGAAAAACTTAGAAAAGTGTTTTATTGTTTTCTTGATAGCAGAGAATTTATTGGATGGTAGCTAATATATAAAATCATTATGAATTATACAAAGTCTAATTTGAGGAAATGTGTTTAGAATATAAATTTGATTTTTATTACTGCAGGTTTTAATTTAATCACTATTATTTAATTCTGAGGTTTTGTAATAGATTGTCTTTATTAATCCAAAACTTATTGTGTATCTGTTCTCGAATCACTCTGTGGTAGGTAATTAATTAAGAACAGTAGGTTTCAACCAACAGGTGACAAGCTTCGTGCTATTATTTGTTTATAAACAAAAGTGAACTTGAAGAGAACTTAACCTTTCCAAACATAAACATTTTCTTTAAAGGATTGGAAATTGGTCATTGACAACTTTTGAAAACACTCAGGTTATTTCAAATTTCATCTACAGTGTGCTCATTGTGATCTTGGAACCAGCTACCATCTTGACGTAGCGATTTGAAACTGGTACCACAGCATTTATCTGTTATAAGGCTCCAGACTTTGCTTGATCAAAGTGTAATTAAATAAAAATTGATTATTTTTACATAAAGACCAAGATTAGATTTCAGTAACAATTTTTTATAAAAGTTAAACATTGTAATACACGTACAACTTACATTCACATATTAATAGAACTGCATTAAATTTATGAATTTTTTTAGTTAATTTTTTTTTCTTGATCATTCTGTTAACTAATTTGTATAATTGGAGAATTAACTTTAGCTTTTTACTGTTTTATCTTTACATTTCTATCCTCAGTTTAATCAATATAATTTTAATTTAATTCCTAAACTCATGCATTCGTGATTATAATTGTTCAAAAACATAAAAATTGTGCTACTTTCAGTTTTCAGTATAGGTTGGTTTGAGACTAGTCAGTTGCATTTACTTTGGGTTAAATACATCCAGTTTTAGCATTCCATGTAGAGTGGTTAATGTGAGATCTTGGACCAGCTATGAACCAAACGTGTACTATAATTATAATCATAATTTTACTTTTTTTTTTTTCTTTTTGATATTTGCAATTTAGTAATCCTCATGAGACTATCAATGCAGATTAAGAGAGAATCGTTCAACTTTCGATTAAATATTTTCTTTTCGGCAAATATCAGAGAAACAATTAGATTACAATAGTGTTGTTCACCAGTTTTATATCAATTTCAAAAAGGCTTATTACTCCGTTGACCTCCAAAAACTGTGTAATATTCTATTTCGGCATAGAATAATAAAAAAAAGCTAGTGAAACGATTAAGGATGTGTTTGTCAGAAACATTCACTAAAGTTTGAATCGGTTATTATTTATCCTAGAAATTTGGTGTTCGTTCTGGATTAAAATAAGGAAATTCCCTTTCACCTGCTCTATTTAATTTGGCATTTGAATATGGCGTTAGAAAGGTGATACATACCGAAAAACTAATGAATCTGGGTATTGGTGCCTGGGCATGTTGTTGGTTTGGTACTGCTAAGTGATGATATGTAAACAATAAAACTAAAAAGAGCAACTTTAATGAAAGTGGTTAATACGGATGAGACAAAATATATGGCTATCTGCAAAAATGGTGACAATTTCGGTGTTATAGATATTGAAGTACGTTTGAAGAGGTAGAGAAGTTTTGATATTTAGGGTCTACAATAACAAGAAAAAAACAAAGTTGAAGAGGAAGTTAAAACAAGGTTAAGGTCAGGAAATGCTCGCTATTTTTCAGTTGCGAAACTACTTATCTCGTTGTCCCAGAGCTTATAAATTAGAATTTACAAAACCATTACTCTTCTGAAGGTTCTTAATGGATGCAAAACGTGGCCACTCACATTAAGGTATGAGCAATGTGTTGAAGTTTTTTGTTTTCACTTACTTATGAATGTAATATATAGTCAGGGAAAGTATTGCGATCATGAAAATTTTTATTTTGCAACTAAGTCTTAACAATGTTGGAAAAATGGAATAAGAGGCTTCCTGATAAATGGAAGAAGGTAATAGAGCAAAATGGTTTATATATAACACAGTAAATCGACCTTAACGAACAAATAAACTTAAAAAAAGAAACAATTTATGGGACACCCCAATAGATAAGACATCGGGTATTGGTAGGAAATTCTATCTGTTTACCTATTGACGTTACACAGCCCACGGTTAAGTCTGTTTTGGGAAACTGTTTTACATGATCTCATTTGGGTTGGAGGTCTCATTTTCTTTGATCCTGTCCTATCATCCAAAGAGAGGACGGGGTGGCCGGACGCCACATACGTTGTGGCGTGGGTCCCAGAATGCTCGGTTCTGAATGTTGGTTCGATTCCCACCTTGGTCGATTACTTTTCATTTCTCGGCACTCCCGGGAAATCAATCTTGACATTCTTACTCTGATAAGTACCCAGTTGTTACCTCGAGATGGTCGTCAGGGGTTTGTAAAAAGGATCAAAATAGGGCCCACTTGTGACTAGTCCTCCCTCTCCCCCCCCCCACCAGTACCAGTACCAATATCATCCAAAGAGCCTCTAAGTAATGTAGTAGAAGAGCTCAATCAGAAGGGAATTATGACATTCAAGCCTCACTTGAGTTCATTCAATTCAAGCATTTGCTTGAGCTTTCTCGGCTCGAGCAAAGTGTCTGATCTTGTTGGCTCAGAATAAAAGGCAGTCACTTGCTTGAGCCTTACGAGTAGGGTTAGGATTTGAATAACTTCTCCTTTTTTATTTTTGTTTAAAGGAAACCAGAGTTCTCAACATATCTGTGCCGATCTTGGGTAATATATTTTAAATACAAAATCCTACAGGATTTTATTTTTGATATATTTTGCACTATAATAGATTATTATTTTATTTTTATTTTGTGCTAAAATAAATCTTGTTCTCTAAAGTGTATAACTTTTTACCTATATCTGTTTTTGTCTTTTGTGAAAGGATGGCTGGTATTTTTGTATTTAGAACTGTTAATTGAATTATAGTGTTACTAGCTGATTTTCAGTTTATAAAATGATGGAAGTGGATTACATCGGAAAATCTGTAAAAAGTGTGGATTGGTCAATAAAAGATACTTTCAATAAATTTAGACAAGAACATTTATTCTTACTTGTTACTAAATGGTAATTTTATTGTTTATTTAATTTTAGACAATTCTCTATTCTTACTGTTCTTAATTTAAGTATGTAAAAGTAATTCAATGTCTTGTGACAAATCCCATTGCAATATGCACTGTTTTATATAGTTAGTTAAACCTTAGTTTTCTTTCTACTATTAAAGAGAGAGTATATCGTTTCGTTTTTTATACTGTATTGTCTTGTGTGAATTATTCTATTTTTTAAATAATGCTGGGTGGAACTGAAATCACTGAAATTCAGAAGCAAAGAATAATGGACCTAAGAAGAGGTGGGATGACTAAGGGACAAATTAAAACCATACCCAGGAAGTTACTTACAGTCACATACTTCTTAAATTTCATCCCAGACAATTATGGGAAAAAGAAATGAAGTGGCATTTTTGGCATTCCTGGACTTATAGGCTGCATTTGATTTGATTCCTCGCCAAGAGATTTAGAATGCTCTACAGGAAGAACAGGTGCCATCCAATCTCATAAGCGGTATTGAATCGGTATAATCGGTAGGATCCTAAGGGAACAGTGCAGCTTAACGGATCTGAATCGGAGCCATTTACGTATTATAAAGGCTTCAAGCAAGGTGATATTCTAAGCCCACTACTATTCATCATATGAATGGATGGTCTGTAAGCGAAGAACACCCAGAGCAACAGTGGGCTACTGGAATTTAATTTCTGTGCAGGCCCAAGCTCTCCTTTTTGTATATGACGTGGTCCTGATTGCCGATACCGTAACATTGATGTTCTAGGTGATTTTAATTACTACCGGCATAACTTAGAAAAGAAAAAAAAAATTGTCACTAAGGTTGCATTGGTGTGGCAGAGGAATGGTATAGGCTGCTTGTAATGAAAAGGAAAATTCTCAAATTGCATTCATTTCCTATGCTGCTATTTATTGAAAAGTTTTCTGTGAATGTATGAATATACATGTACAGTCAAAATGTTAGCTGTATGATTCACACAGCACATTCTACAAAACAATGGTTTCAGAATTTTGTAGTCAATGTTTTGGATTGGCCAACTCTTAGTCTGGATCTCAATCCGATTGAAAATTTTTGGGGAAGGTTAGAGCAGTCCACGACCTTCAGAAGCAAGAAATCGAAAATATTGATGAGCTTAAAGAAAGGAACACACAAGTTTGGGAAAAACATACCAGAGAGTACTTTAATTAATTTAATTAAAAGTTTTCTCAAAAGACTGTTGGAGGTGATAAAAAAACATGACAGAACTTCTCATTTATGAAATATATTTACTCATTAAAGAGACAGAAAATTTATAGGTTTATACTCTTTCACGGATTTGTTTTGTTATGTTATCCCAATTGTAGCTAATCCTAGCAATATGATTTAATATTTTATTAAAATTGTAACTAATCATTTACAGTATACATTAAAAAATATCTTTTGTTACTCAGATTCCAAAATAAAAGACTTAAACTAATTGAAATAATGGCCTGGATATGATTTTACGTTCACTTACCTATATATGCAATATATAGTAAGGGTAAGTATTGCGATCGTGAAAATGTTTGAGTCTGAGTTTTCAAATACATGTTTAGAGGTCTCCTGAGTCCAAATAACCACGTCCCGCAAAATGGTCTGTGTGTGTGTGTGTGTGTCTGTGTGTGTATGTATGCTACCAGTCTAGCTCAAAAATGGAAAGTGAAATTGTATATTTAAGGTTTTTATAAGCTTTCGAATGTTACAGCAACATTTTCATCAAAATCGGCAAACCGGAAGTGGTATTTGACACATTTTTACGATTTTGATTAACCTCAGTATATCAGTGTATTATTAAGCAGTTTTTAATATAATGTAGGTTTTATTCTCATTGATGTTCTATATCAGGGCTTAAATAACTAATTTTCAATATTGGCTTCCTCTAAAGTACTTTTATTAATTTTTATTTGAAATAATTAACCATTTCACATTAATCTATGATATAAAAACTAGTAAAATATTAAATATGAAAGAATTTGATAATTAACTAAAGGGGAAATAAGAGATTCTCACGGATAATAGTTGTAATAGAGGAATCAAAGGAATACAAGCTCATCCGAAAGATTACATTAGGCTTCCATACGTAACATGAGCTTCATATAATACAGCCTCAGACAATATTATGTTCATATACATATGTGGTTTTCATAAATTCGATCATTGGTATTATTTAATATTTAATTGTATTGTATACAGCGATATAAAAATTAAAATTTGTATGTATAAGGGTATTTAAACAAATAAAATTACCCACAATGAATTGTAAATAAATATAGTGTCAATAATTTTTACTTTCACTTCCCCTTTATCTGAAAATACTTATTTCTTCTAAGAAGAGGGTGGTAAGTGAAATTTGTGTGGTGCGTGCGTAAGAATTTTATCATTTATGATCAAAAATAAAAATCATGAAATGATTTTTAAAAATACCAGATATAAATTTTGATCATAATTTATTTTTTTTTTAATCATCGATTTCAAACCATGTGAATGGCCAATGATTGTCTAATGTTATAGTTTGGAGCATTTTGCCACACATTTAGCATGAAAAAGACAACTATTGGGTTGGCAAATAAGTTCTTTTGGTGTTTCTGTTTATTTTTTTCACTACGATACTCTTCTTATCTGATGAATTAATCCCTAAGGTGGATTGTTTATCCTGTTTCTAATATTTCAACAACTATATCTATTAACTCTTGCTGAAACTAGCTTGGTATTGTGTTTGCTATTGCACTCTGAATTTGGAAGAAAATATCATTTATTATCAGCATATTTTGTTTAAAAAGGTAAGCGTGCTGCAGTAGCTCATTGAAAAATTTGCAGTGTTTATGGAGATGGTTTGTCAAATTTCATTCAGGAAATTTTGACAGCAATAATGCTCAATGGTCTGGTCGCCCACATGAAATTGAAATGAGCAATGTTAAGGCCATTGTTGATCAAAATCCCGCGCAATCAGTGTGAGAGATTGCTATGGCCCTAAATGTGTCGCACACAAGCGTAGAAAACCATTTGCACAAGCTCGGCTATGATTTTTTTTTTTAAATCACAAAAAATGTTATAACTTCAATACGACTTTAACTATCTACAAGAAATTTAGGGCCACATAAACTACACAAAATGAAATCAACATGACCTTTGTAAGCAAACAACAAATGGAGATAAAAAATAACCTATAAGGAGTTTTTGTTTATTTATTCCTTATGTAGATATTAAATCAAAAATCAATTCATACGGCTTTGAAGAGCAATAATTCAGCTTTCCAAAGTCATATTAAATACTGGTAAATATATTGTGGATTAAAATAAAGTTTATGTCTATAGAACATTTTATTTCACCCTGAAAAACCGAAAGGACTTATTTGCCAACCCAATACATCTTGTATCATATTATTCTCATTTGTCATTCTTTTTTGGTTGATTCATTTGTTTGTTTTTAAAGCTATGTATTTTTTTTTTTTTTTTATGATAGTTGTTTAACATTTTAATTACCTATTTTGTTTTAGATACTGCAATGGGGAAGGATTACTATAAAATCCTTGGAATAAGCAAAACTGCTACCATGGACGAAATAAAAAAAGCTTATCGGCAATTGGCATTAAAATATCATCCTGATAAGAACAAAGCAGCTGGAGCTGAAGAAAGATTCAAAGAAGTAGCTGAAGCTTATGAAGTATTAAGTGATCAGAAGAAAAGGGATGTATATGATAAATTTGGTGAAGAGGGATTAAAAGGGCACGAAGGTAATAGGCCTGGATCAGGAGGAGGTTCTACAACATATACATTCCATGGTGACCCCAGAGCAACGTTTGCCCAATTTTTCGGTACTTCTAATCCTTTCCAACAACCATTTTTTGATCTTGGAGGAAGTCCCTCTCCATTTGGAAGTTTCTATGATGAAATGGACATAGACAGTGATCAATTATTTGGTGGAAATATTGGATTGAATTTTGGTGGTCGTGGTGGTCCAGGTGGGGCATTTAGATCACAGTCATTTAATATTCATGGCAGTAACCCTTCAAGAAAAGATAAAGTTCAAGATAGTCCTATAGAATATGATTTGTATGTGACTTTAGAAGATGTATTGAAAGGCACAGCGAAAAAAATGAAGATTTCTCGTAAAGTGTTACAACCTGATGGTTCCACTAAAAGAGAAGATAAATTCCTCACTGTTAATGTCAAACCTGGTTGGAAAGCTGGCACAAAAATAACTTTCCAGAGAGAAGGAGATCAAGGAAGAAATAAAATTCCTGCTGATATAGTTTTTATCATTCGAGATAAACCTCATTCTGTGTTCAAAAGGGAAGGAAGTGACATCAGATACACAGCTAAAATATCTCTTAAATCAGTATGTTGACATCTCTGCTCATTTATATATCTTTATTTTATTAATATCAATTATATTAAGGCATTACAGGTACTTTAATGGTTTCATTAAAAGTCTCAAGTTTTAAAAAATATTATCCTTTTTCTCTATAAAAAACATATTTCTTTAGACAAAATGGTTATAATCTATTATTGCTTCACAATAAGTGGTCTATGGTACCAAAATTGGTAATTAAAATTCATGAGTTTTTAAAAAAATTTCTGACTTTTTCCATATTAGGTAGGGGATGTACTGCATATTATTTCTACGTTTTACCAATATGATAATGAATCACAAATAAACTGAGACCAAATAATATGAGAGCAAATACCTAAAAAGCAATAAACTTTAGGAATTCTCTAGGACTCACCTCACTTGGACTAACAAAATGAGATGGTCCCTACGGGTATTAATTTTTGGTACCATTTATGTTAGCTATTCTCTCTTCATTTTGGTTCTATATTACCTTTGTTTTCGTTCCCTACTGGTAAGGTTTTATGCAGAGTTTACTTGTATGTTCCTCTAACCTCTCTTGAACATCCTGTTGAAAAGAGATACTTTTATGAAACAAAATGAAAAAGGAGGTCCTTTTAGCTAATTTCATTGCAGAGACACTTCTATAAAATTATAAATTTTTCAAACGCATATGTCACTTAGATTTCTTTCTCCATAACTCCCTGTTTTTCTTAGGAATGTTCTATACAGATCTGCAGAGAAATGTTTATAAAAAAAATTGCATACTACGAAAACCTTTGCAGAATTCATATATATTTAAATTTGGATCATTACACATTTAATTGAGAAAATGGCATTTTAATTTGGAATTATGCTTATGTTCATAAAAAATAGTTTATAACACGACTTATGTAGTTAGTTTGCTTGATTGTTGTAGAATTATAATTTGTATGTATTTTTTTTTTTTGTAGTATTCATTATTAATTTTTAAAAAATAATTAGTAATACATATTACTGGAACTGTCGATAAAAGAACTTTTAATTACTATTATAACAATTAGCTGTTAATTTAATTCAAATTTTTCTTATGACTTTTAAAATATAAACTGATAAAATTACAATAAATTATAAATAGCCAAAATTAGCCGTCTAATAGTAATTGAAGAAAAATAGAGAAGTTCACCAAATCCTGGTTTGTTGCTGACTCTCCGACTCTAAGGAATTCCTGGCTGAATGATAGGCACCCTACATAAGGATCCGTGGATGATGACTAAGGAGTCTATAAAGAAGTGTCATTGGGAAATTATTTTTGCAAATATCATAAATTAAAAAAACAAATTTGTCGTAACTATTTCCTTTCAAATGTTTTTAGTAAAATATGTTTGTTTTGATCCAAGGAATAATTTTTACAAAATAGTATCAGATAATTCAGGGACACAATGTCTATACATGTCATATTTATGCTAGTTTCAGTAGCGCTATTTATGAAATACAAGTTATTTTAAGATACTTGGCATTTTAATGATTGGGGTGAAGGGTCCTTGAAAAAAAATTGTAGTGAACCATTGAGATAAATGATTAAGTTTATCTTCCTATAACAATGTTAATTGTTAATCAATGTCTGTAGGTAAAAAACTTCATTTTTAATTTGATTCTTGGTTGATGATTTAATGACTAATTTTTTTCCTAGTTAATAGGTATTTATGGATAAATTTTATTTTTAACATTTCTTCTTTTATTTTCTTATAAACTAACTTGCACCCATTTTATGAAACCCTATTGTTTACAAATATTTTATTTTACTGTATAAAAGTATAATTGCTTGTAGTATGTTACCATATAAATCCTTTCGGTTTTTCAGGATAAAATAAAATCAGTGTATTAATAGAAAAAATTAGTTTAATCTACAATGTTTTGACTATTATTTATTCTGACCTGTCTAGTCTTCTAATTACTGCATAATGCCATGTTCATTAAATGTCTGGGGTTGATATTTAAAAACTGATCTAAGTGGTTTTTTATGTCCTGTTTGGTTTTGAATTGATTTCAATTCATGGAGTTTTGCAGAAACCAGAATAAGTGGTAGTCACTTAAAGCTAGGTCCATTGAATAGGGAGTGTAGGGAAAAATATCCGATTCAAACCTTAATAATTTATTGTGAGTGACCAATGAAGTGTAAGATCTAGTATTGGTTAATGGAAAATATGCTGCCAATTTGCCAGTTCTGGGTATTTTTGTGTGATTAATTGATCCAATTTTGTTAGTTATGAGCAGTATTGTGCTGAGCAATTGTTAATCCTGATGGCTTGAAATCCCACTATTTGGAAAGCCTGATCTTTGGGTGCAATTAGGGTTTTGATGGCTTTATAGGTAGGTGCCTGGCTTCTTGGTCCCCAAGATTTTCTAGAGACTACATTATTGTAAAGTATTTATATTTCATCTTCTGTTATTTTTTCAAAAATGGGTCATTTTATTAGTTTCCAAAATTTCGAAATTGCATCAAATTCTCTGAACTAAATTCAGCAAACCAATTTTGACATATGCATTCGGTTAAGGCATCATCCACATAAACTGCAAAATAATTGAGTTGTAACATGCTTAGTTTTTTTAAAATAATACAACAAAATATACTGATAGCGACAGATATTTTTTCCATAAGGATGAAAAATAATCAGGATATACATTCATTAATGGTGTTTATTAAGTTTATTGATGTATCTTCCCAAGCATGTGTGCCATCATCAGGATTAAATTGAAAATTACATCTGAAAAAATGATATAGATAAAAGTATATAAGAGTAGGAAAAAAAAATTAATTAACATCATTAATGAATACCATATCCTGACTATTTTTCATCTTAACAATTGTAACAGTCAACTGTATCTCCATATCTAAATTGTTTTCTTCCATATTCACAGTGAAATAGCAAACACATTACTAACCTATTTTTTAACCGAAAGGACTTATTTGTCAACGCTATAATTTTGAAAAGTACCCAGTTTAAGACAATAATGATTTTCATTTCTTAGATTTTGTTTTAAAGTTCGGAACTCAATTTTTTATAATTTTATTTTTTCACATGTTTTACTTATGGAAGTTTATTAATGAAAATTTTTTTAACTTCTGAAAATCTTAATTACATGAGTTCAAAGTTTTAGACCTCGTCAATTTTAAAGTCACTTCATTTTTTTATTTCTATTGGCACTTGTCTATGTGTTCTTTTTATTGTGTTTAACTTAAAACTAACAAGCTTATTTCTCTTTTTTTATTTTTATTTTTAAATATAAAATTTTTGTCCATGACTATGTTTCTTATTCTTTTATAAACGACTTATAAAAGGATAAGATACAGTGTTATTTTATAAATAATGGTGGAAAAAATTATTATGATAAATGTAATAAAATTATATAAAACATGTAAGTAGATGAGTACCACTTACAATCAAGTTGGTAGTACAAACATGAAAAACAAAGTGATTTGAAAATCGACTAACACGTCTCAAACATTAAACTGATGAAATTAAGATTTTCAGGTTTTTCATTAATTAACTTCCTGAAGTAAACCATATGTGATACCACAAAAAATTTAAAAATATGTACTTAAATAATTATTTTTTGTATTCCATCAATTTGTCAAGCTCTTGTTACAATTCTGTGTCTGATAATATTTTTAAATTTTTTTTAAGGCTCTGTGTGGTACACAAATTGAAGTTCCAACTCTAACTGGAGAAAGTATACCATTGAATCTTCGTAAAGAAATTATTAAGCCAACTACCCTTAAGAGGATTCAAGGACATGGCCTACCACTTCCAAAAGAACCTAACCGCAAAGGCGACCTTCTGGTTTCATTTGATATTCTGTTTCCTGATACATTGACTTCGAGTGTCAAAGACATACTACGAGACATGTTACCTAATTGATAAAATTAATTTACGACTACTATCTCATCTACTTTTTTTTTTTTTTTATTTCATATGTTTACAAAAGTAACGATCAAAGGCTAATTTTTAATTTTATGATTTTTTTTTATTAATTTTTTTACTTGAAATTTTTTTTTTAATTTTTTTTTTTATATACAACTGCTTTAAAGTTGGTTTATTATGACCTTTTTTACTTTGTCTTGCTTATGTTTGATTTCATTGTTAATCTATTATATTTTTTAGAAACGAGTTTATTTTTCTATATTCTTGAACTGAATGAAAAACTTCATGCTGCTTGGCTGAAGTTTTGTAATATTATTATTGTAATAAGTAATAGATTATTCTCTTAAAACTAAATTTTCTAGAAATTTTCATTTAGAATAGGGCTGACAGGATTTAATTTATGTAATGGTGCATTGAAGTATAATTAAATATCTTATTTTGCTAATTGTTTTAATTGCCGCTGTGATGCTATACTAACTTTAATTAATAAAAAGATTCATGAACCTTGAAAGTCTAGTTGCAATTCAGACAATGAATGATTTACCTCAGAAAGATGGCCGACTTTGATTTTATGAAATTGAAAATATAAATGTGACTAAGGTTTTCATCAAACCTACACAATACCCTCCAACATGCTTTACTAACGTTTATTATTATTAAATTATTTTTCTTTATTAGTCCAGTTATTTTAATTCCATTACGTTTAAGAGAGGTTAATCTAAAAAAAAAAAAATATGTGGGTCTATATATTTTTACTGTCGATTTGTAGTGTCTTTTTTAATTTGTTGCCCAGTTTCTAATTGCAAACAACCTTTTATGATGTATAAACTGTGATTTGTTTTCTGTTGTTAGATCATCTATTAAATGGAAAACACATAATTGGGATTAAAACTTATTTAAGTGGTGTGACATGAGTATTTAACTGCACTTTACTAATGAAGTGTTCACCTTGAATCAAGTTTTTCTCACAATTACGTATCCTGTCAGCCTTAGTTAGATTACCATTCTGCATACAAAAATTGTATTTGAATTATCTTAGGAATACTCAAGTTTAATACAATTTCTTTTTCTGAAAACTATTCAATAAAGTCTAACTTTTTAATTTATAACTTGACTGAACAAAAAAGTTCTGTTCTAAAAATCATCTGCTGTGAATATTGTCAATATTAATTTTAAATATTTTATGTAACATTTTATGCCTTCACTGAAATCTGAATAATATTGAGCCATGGCCTGCACATCGCCTGTCATAACTAATGAAAAAAAAAAAATCGCATTTGCTACCTCTTTTTTTCTTATTTAAAAACTAGCAATACAGGAGTGGTTTTTGTTATGTGTTTACTTGATTGTTTTGTGTCTTTTTATTTATTGTTATTTAAGAATTGAAAGTAAGTGAATCATAGCTCAATTTAATGTTGAACCTTTTGATAATTAAAAGTTTTGTTTTAAATATTATTTGTTTTTCTCTTTCCAGCTTACCTTTATTCATTCTACAAATTACTAAGACTATAATTATAATGCAATATTTTCACAGCATTTCATAATTTCAGTTGTTATGATTTAATTGATTGCAAAAAATTAATTCCTGTAATGTATTTTTGTAAATTGATGTTAATCTCCTAAAATTTTAAAGAAATAATTTTACTAAATGATAGAATAGTTCCAAGGATGAGAAATATATTTTTATTACTTTTAATAGGTCATGTAATCCATTTTATTTTAAAGTAATTTTCATAACTAATAAATCGTCAACTCTATGAAAAATAACATTATTATTTAAAAATAATTTAATTTGTGCATGATAAAATAACCAACCATTTGTTACATATTTTTAGTTTTGTTTTTTAATGTTACTCCCAAAAATGTTAAACTTACTAAGTGTAATAAATGTGTTTATTTTATTTTATTTATTCTTTCCTAAATTGAATTTAGTATGTATAACAAGAATTAGAAGTTGATTTGTAAATATTGTGTAATGAATGAGAACTTTTATAATGATATAGATGTTATAATATTTGTAATATATATATATTTATTTATTTTTTTTTTTTTTAGAATAAAGTTATTAACAAAAGTTGATCTCGAAACATTTTGTTGATTAGCTGCCACTACTTTTTGAAAATACATGTAATATTTATGTAATTGATTGAGGCTTAAAAAACATTGGCTTTGGTCATACAACTCTTTTGCTTGTTAAAAGTTTTAATTGGACTAACCCTGTTTTCAAAATCTCTTTGTGAATATGTAGCTATTATTGTTTAAATTTGATAGAATTTTATTAGAAATAAAATTTCTCCAAACTATTTTTTTAACATTTGACTAACTGTAAAATTCTTGTGTGTAAACAATCAATGGTAAAAAATAAGAAAATTGACTTATTTTCTAATTTATTATTTAACTTTATGTCAAATCTTATTTATTTAAAGAACTAGCATGAATTTTGGCTGAGCTATTGTTAAGAATGTAATTGCAGCTTACCTCTGGCCTTAGCTTGCTTTTCATTTCTATTATCAAATTTCAAAGATACATTATTTATCTACTCCACTAATTTATCATTTGTTCAAGCATATTTAAATTTCTGTTAAAATTAAAAAAGATAAATAAATGAGGGCTAACAATTTTAATTTTTTACTAAAAATCTATTCAGTAAAAGTATATAAAAGTTTCAGCTATCCATATATGCCGATGTTAAAAGTTGTATTTATTTAGGATAAGATTTAGAACTATTAATATTATGCCTCGAAACATGGAAAACTAATTTTTCATAAGCATTTTTTTATTTAATTTAAACCAAATAAATTTATGTGTTGTACCAGAATTTATAATAATTAAAAAAATTCAATTTAATTTTCTTAAATTTTCAATGATATAGGGTTATAAGCATTTTGTGGAAAAAATCTTGTACAATATAAAATTTAGCAATAATAAAGTGAAATGAGGGCTCCGCCCTACCTTTCTATGCAACATTCGGAGATAACTTTAACAGTTGCTAATCTTTCATGCACCAATCTTTCTTTATTTTATAGTTTAAATTAATTTACTTTTTTATCTAGTATTGTAAAACTGAATAACTTTTGTAAGCCCCTTATTTGATGCAGAACTTCCTCAACCAAACATAGCATTTCAGGATTAGCGTGAGTTTGAACTGGTTATCCAGAATAATATTTCTCTTCTCTAGCAGAGCCTTTAATCTTTTATCAAGAAACAGCTTTTCCAACTGTGTAGAAGTGACTGGGAACACTGAAATTGGTCTGTATGACTTGTATCTGTCAGTGTTTTTTTAGGGTTTAAAATCTAGTTTTCTTAGGCTTATGCCCAACAGTTCTTTTATTTATTATCTGACCAATTACCATCTTGTTGCATCCATTCCTACCTTTTTTTTTTTAAATTAAGTTACTTTTGGTCTTTGCTTTCAATTCATGAAGCCTTATTTATTTTTTTAATATTTATTTTCTAATTTTTGCTTCAAATCATATTTTCTTCTGCTTGTTAAGCCTGCTGGAGGCTGGAAGGGTTCCTCAAGATGTTCAACATAAAGGGCTGTTTTATTTTTCTTACATTCTGCCCAATATCTATCTGCCATTTTTAGTTACGATTGGGCGTCTCTTCATAAAATAATATAATGAATTGAAAGCAAACATTTTTTCTTTTCTTTTTCTCAGAGATTCATACAATATAATTCTGTAAAATTCAAGCTCCTCAAGACTAGCCTTTGGTGTTGATTTAACTTAAATTTGTAAATGGAGGTTAGTTCCAACTAACACCTATTTATTGTAACCAAGGGTGTTAGTTGTATTTGAGATTGTCCAAACAAGTCAGAAAATCATTTTTCATGAATATTGCAGAGTTGGAGCATGAATCCAATATGTTAATGCTCATTAAAATCATAACTCTTGTTTAAATTAAGTTAAACCCATTCAATACTGCAACCATATGGCCCTATTTTTGTAGTAAATTGCTTAATTAAAAGAAAAAAATTCATTCTGATTTATTTCCATAAAACATAAACCACTTCAATGTAAGTTTACAAATATTACTAAAATTAAAGTTCAAACAGTAGATGACAATTAATCATTGGGAAAGGATTTGTTTTAAGTTGTGGATTATCCTATCTAATGTTGTATTTATTACAATTCAAATACTAAACTGACAAGGAAGCTTTTCTGTATTACTGCAGAATAGAAACTTGAATAGTGAGATAGACCGCAAACAAAGTCATTGAGAAGTTACTGTATCAGCGCACTGTTGCACTCGCTGAAAGAAATGAATTTAAAAGCAAAAGGTATCATTACTGTGTAAACATGTATAGGGATATTGTTAGTTATGTATGATTTATTCTCTCTAGAATTTTTATTTTATTATAAAATACATTGAAAATTAATACAAATAAAATTGTATTTGACCTCGGAAAATTTTATAAAAGGTGTTTTAAAAAAATAATAATAATTAAAAGATTTTGATATACTTTTTATGATTGCAAATTGTAAATATTTTGTAAAATTTAATCATTTGTGCAATACGCACTACCTTTCTGCACTTCTTATGCATATGGTTTTTAATGTTGTCACTGATTTCACTACGAATTTCCTACCATTACATAGTAATTCTACTCTCTTGCTGAAGGTTAAGATGATGCAAAAGGTGGTCAAAAAGCTTTCTCTGCAATGCATTCCACATATATTAAAAGGGATTGAAATCTGGAGACAATATGGGAAAGGGCAGTTGTGAAATGTACAGATTTTCAAGATAATGATGAACCAACTATTCCCCTATGAGGTCGCGTATTGTTGAGAAAATGAAAATCTGTGACAATTATGGCCCTGGTTTGGGGAATATACTCCTCTATAATTTTTTGAACATAACAAACTGCAATGAGATCTTCCACAATATGGAGTAGAGTCTGTTCTGAGTAAATGCTGGGCCATACCATCACACTCTCACCTGTAGACTCCATTGAAGAAAGCACAAACTTTTCTTGGAAGACTCTTTGCCACCTACGACCACTATAAATATAGAAACGTGACTTGTAAGTAAACATAGCAGAATCCCAATTTGTATCCTCATCTAGGCGCTCGCTGCATCATGATCTGTGGAGTTTCTGGAGGTCGTCTTAATGGGGCATAAGATGTTAGACCAACTTTCCACAAATGAATGCGAATGGTTAGAATTTTACCTTAGAACATTAGAAACTTAATTTAGGCTCTGTTGGGTACTATGAAAAGGGTTGTTTCTTGCAGTAATAATAATATTTCTGTCATTCCTTGGTGTTTTAATGCACTGAGATCCACTAACAAGTCTCCTATTGGTATTTCCGGTTCTTCTGAATCTTGTTAAAGCCGGAAGACCACAATCTGGGAGACGCCAACTGCATCGGCTATATCCACTTACCGGTGCACTTGACCTCTCATTCTCATGATAATATTGCCGACTTCAATTTCAATATTATGTCTTTCCATCATTAAACAAAATATTACTGGATTAAAATTGAGAAAAGTCAAAAACAACTATTGGTTCACACCATGAGTATATTCTTCATGTTGACTATCCTTTAGTTAATCACTTATTAAAAATAAAGAATACTTGTTGCTTACTTTTATGTTTACCAACAAATAAGAGAATCCCTAACAAAGAATAAGGAATATGGTATTTTAATTGATCCAAATCAAATATAAATATCTCTATTCATTTTTGTGCAGTATATATTATGAAACATCTCATTAAAAATAGAAATCTTACTTAGATTAGAAAATGTAGTATTGCAATTAATTAAAGTTACAAATATAAATATCAAGAATAGAATAATAGAAATGATCTTATAAAGAGAGTAAAATGAAGACAAGGGCAATTATAACAATTAGATTATTATTGACAGATCCCAAAACAAAGACAGTCAATACCCAATGAATCAATGTTTTGCCAGTTCATTAGAACTACAACATGCAGTCAAGTTATTTAGGAATTAGAGGCATAAAATCCCAAGCCATCAACACCTATGTATTCTTAGTTTCAATTACCTCAATATTAAGTTATTTTAACAGGCAAGTAACAATAGTGATTACAAAGATTAAAGAATAATTTTTTCAGTGCTACATTCAACATGAATGGTAAATTAAATATTTTTTCCATTAACAATTTAAATCAGAATTAATCATTACCTGTTGATGTGCTTTCTAAATTTGTTCAGTATTCATTAGAAAATTGTATTATCGATTAAATTATAAAATTATTCCTTAAGGTTAGAACTCAGTAATATCATTTAGCTCAACTTTACTGTGCGTTTTTTTTTTTCTTTAATTAAAAGAATTCTGTTGAGGAACCGATTATTGGTTATGCTGATTGAGCTATAGTAGGCAGTTTGGTATGTAGCTAGTTTGGGAGATTTGAAAGTGAAAATTTCAAATTGGTTGATGAAACCATTTATTACTGTAATTCTATGCTTGACAAAAAATGAGTGATTCTACAAATATTAAATGAGTGATACAAAGGTAAGTGGAATTTTTATCCAAAACATACATATCTTGGACAGTTATTGAAGGTTGAGCTGTGGAAGAATGGGAGACAGGAATAGGGTGGAAAAGAAGGAATGGCTTTTAAAACTGGTTAAGGTATAGTTTAAATGATGTTAACACTAAACATACCATAACGGGTCAAATGACCCATTTTGAACTTTTCCATTGAAAATGCACGTATAATTTTATTGCGTTTGCACATTTGACTTCATGACTTTTTCTAAGTAATTAATGTAC